TTATGTATTTAGTGGACTCATAAGAAAGCATCTTACAGCCCAATCAGATGCATATGTACTCAGAACTATGTATATTTTAGTTCAATGGAATGTTTAAGCTGAGGCTGGATAGCCATCTTGAAAAAATAGGTCTTTAAAAGGAGACAATTTCCTACTTTATTTCCTGGAATCAAATACATGTCGCTTTGGAATTGGGTGTTGCCAAGCAGCCTTCAAAGTTCCAGCACCAGCTCCACTGTCACTTTAAGGCTCTCAGGGCTTTCTTGGTTTTAAGAGATTGAATATATTTCCTGAGAGCCAGGCATTCCATGTACTGACTACAGAACCACGATGCTTCATCATAAGCCATGTGGTATACATGGCATATGTATACCACAACATAAGATAATCCTCACAGTCTGGTAGTTTTCTGTTTATTTTTTTCGTCACTGAATTAATCAAGAAAGGTAAATCATTTACCACCAATATTTATCACACAACTGCTTGGCCTTCCACAATCTCTTGATAAACTCATAGGGGTGCTTAGAATGGGCCTTTGGGATTGGGACTGAGACACTTTTATCCTCAAGCTTATTGAGCTGAAAAAACTTTTTCGAGCACCCGACTTACTCATTCAGAGTACATCCTCAAAGCATTTGCAGTCAGAACAAACTTCCAAGAAGACATGTGCTGGTAGTAGATGACTTCTTTTTAAAGGGTACAGAAGCAGTGGCTTGCAGACCTGACTCAAAAGATGTGCTATCTCCCTGAAGCAAAAATCCAAGAAAAGCTCTCTATAGCAAAACAAAGAATAAGGAAACGATAGGGCCACTGATTAGAGCAGGCTTGGGCAAATTTTTAAACTTGGGGTCCTCCACATGACAGGCCGGAGCGTGGTGAGTTAGCCAGGCCGGGGGGGGAGGCCGGGGGGTTCGCACACGGCAGCTTGCCTGGTCCGCGGCTGTGCTCATCAGTACCAACCTTGGCCAGAGCCTCTTCCTAGCCTGTACTTAACCTCCACTGTCACAGGACTCAGCTGCTCCTCACCAGCACACTCCCCTTCTTCTGGGCCTCTGCCCCCAGTGACAAGGACAGCAGATTCTTCTCTTCCTCCTCCTCCTCCACCGCCGCCATCTGAGCATGTGGCTACCTAGGGATCTCCTTCCCTTCCCTCTTGCTCCTGTTCTTTCCGAGGGGAAACTTGCCCTTGAGGAAGTCGGCGGCAGAAGAGAAGGAGGAAGAGAAGGTAGAAGAGGAGCCACCTTCCTCATTGCCAGGGGCAGAGATCTGGAAGAAGGGAACTCACTGATTCCATGCACACCACTGAGGACCGGCTAAGTCCCATGGAAGTGTAGGCCAGGAAGAGCATCTGCATGGAGCTGGTGCTGCAGCCGCATGTGACTTCCCTGGCCTCTTCTCAGCATGAGGACGTGAGCAGGCCACCACATTCTCATGCTTATAGTAAGGTGAATGAAAGGGGGGGGGGCTGAGAAAAGAGCCCAAAGGGCTGCACCCGGTCCCCAGGCCTGGGTTTGCCCATACCTGACATAGAGGTAATAACAAAATGCTAACAAAAGGACAGAGAAGAGGAAGAATGATTTAAGCCCTCCTTTGCCTCAGTGTTCTCCAACAAAGGTAACAGTGCTCAACTTAGGCATAATGGAACAGATAATGCAGTAGAGGAAATGCAACACAGAATAGATAAAGAGATGGTACTGTAATATCTGACTAATTTAAATAAATCCAAGTCTCCAGGGTCAGATGAATTATACTCAAGAATTTTTAAAGAACTAGTAGAAGTAATTTCAGAATTAATGATGGTCATCTTTGGGAATTCCTGGAGAACAGGAGAAGTTTCAGAAGAAGAAGGTAAATGTTTCCATCTTCAAAAAAGCTACAAAAAGAGAAACCAAACAATTTCCACCCACTCAGCCTAACATCAATACCAGGAAAGATTCCAGAGCACATCATTAAACTGACAATCTGTAATCACTTAGAAATGAATGCCATGCTCACAAAAATTCAACATTGGTATCATGCCAGAAGAACCTTACATCTTTTTTTATAGAGTTACTAGCTTGGTAGATGAAGGGAATGCTTTGGATGTAATATATCTCAATTTTAGCAAGGACTTTAACAACGTTCTCCATAAAATTTTCACAAAGAAGCTAGTAAAATGTTCCCTACAAGGAAAAGAGGCCCATCCAACAATTATGTGCTAAATTACTCAGTAGTATCCACTGTCACAGAGAACCCATTTGCTGCTCCTGTTCTGCAAATACTGTTGTGCAGTATTTGCAGAACAGGAGTCTGGAGAGATAGTCTGGAGAGATAAAAACAAGGGAGCTGAACACATAGAATGAAGCCTGTTCTCTGTTGCATTTCCCTTACTGCATTAGTTCTTCCATTATTTTCTTGCTGAACACTGTTTTCCTTTTGGGAGAGGATCGAGGCAAACAAAATGATCAGTAGTTCTGCCTTTTATTGCCTCCTGTTAGAATTTTGTCATCTTCTCTACACGATTTCCATTTTGTTACGTACTTATAAAAAACATTTTCATTGTTATTACACACTCTAATAAGGCTGAACTAGTTCTGCATATTAGCTTTTCTGATTTTCACCCTAACACGCTGCCTAATTGTTTGAATTCCTCTTTGGTGATTTTCCTTTTTTCCATTTCTTGTTCATATCCCCTTTAAATCTTAGCTCAGTTGAAAGTTCTTTAGGCATCCATTCTGGTTTCTTTACATGCCTCACATTTTCCCCCCATTCAAACTGTTTGGCATCACGTCTCCAATATCTCACTTTTAAGAAACAGCAATCCATTATAAACTCCCTTCTCTCTTAGTAATACAAACCACAGGATCACACCTAGTATTTTTAATGTCTAGAATGTATGTCTGACTATTCTTGATTTTCTCCTTCCACTATATAACAAATGCCAGGGGAATGTGTCCACCCTTACCTAAAGATCCTGCAAATTCCACCCCATTGACCATCAGATCTAAAACAGTCGATCCCCTTGCTGCCTCTTCCATTTTTTGGACAGTAAAATCATCTGCAAGGCAAGTGAGGAATTTGTTGAAAAATGATATTCTTGGCAAAGTTTGAGTTCAAACAAATAACAGGATAGTTGGGATCTCCCATTGCTACCACTTCTCTCCCTTCTCAATGTGTGGTCTTCTGCTTCAGGAAAGTATAATCTATGTCTCTTGTTCCCAACATGGAGAATGTGCCCCGCAGGGGGGCAATTTGATTTGAGGGGAGGGGTGGAATTTGAGAATGAGTTGTTAACAGTGGGTTTTTTGCCATTTATTATGGTTCTAGGGGTCTCATATGCAGTATATAAATATATGTTGTGACATACACATTTAAAAAATCAAAATCAGAATATACATGGGCAGCTGGTGACAATGTAAAAGGGGGAAAGCCCGCTAATAATGATTTCTTCCTTCCTCAGTACTACAACTGTCCTTATTTTTCTCTTTCAATGATGCCATGCTCTTTGGAAGCTTGTTTAGACCAAGTTAATCTCCTTTAAGGATTCCTCCACGTGAATAGGAGTTCACTTTTTGAATAAGTATTATATCTCACTGGGGGGGGGGATCAGGATTTTAGAGATGCTTAGGTTGGGCGTGGCCAAAAAAAAAATTTGAGAAACACTTATTTAAGTTCTCAGTTTGGCTTGGAGGTCTGTAGTAGACCCCTTGCAATTTTACATCTCTGCTGTTTCTTTCCCACTTAATTTTTACATTAGATGATCTCAACCTGGCTTCCAGGATTTCAGTCACAGATCTGTGAAATTTATAATTTTAATTTTTTAGAAAGCTTTATTTGCTAGGTATTAGGATAACATATCCTTTTAGATGACTTTTTTTTAATAACATAATCCTTACAAAAATGTACTGAGAATTTTCAACTCACTACAATTCTGATATTTTTACACACACACACACGGACCGACGTCCATATGATTTCTATTATCACAGAACACGCTCCTGCATTTAAACAGGTGTGTCGTAAGTCTGCAGCACACAGCTCGCCATTAAACTAACTACAATAGGAACAGAATGAGTACTCCAAGAATTTCACCCAGATGTTTCTGTCACCCCCATTATCCATTTCATGTAAACACACCCCATATTCCGGTATTCCGATTTGTATATACACTCTACAACTTAGTACTAGAGCTGAATATTTAGTTAGTCAGTAGATTGTTTTCATCTTGAGATTCATTAGATCCCTATGGGATCTTCACTTCCTTTATTTTATACAATCACAAATTATATTGGCTTGTCCTATTTTGATAACCTCTTCAATTAACATCCAGCACAGGAAGTTGTTTTACTCCTTTAAACAATCTCATAAAACAAGGACTTTTCCTGGTCTTTCATTGGCAAGAAATGACAACTGTAAATCACTTGCTAAAGATTACTGAGCAGAACTTTTCATATCTTTGGGACTGGTTAATTTTTAGTAATTGATTTAACATATTCTCCTTCCTTGTTGACTCGAAGGTGAACACAGAAAACAGTCAATATTACCAGTTTATAATACATATATTTACCTTCTTTCAGAGTACTCTTATATTTTAAATGACTGAATGCTTGGATTGGATATCACACAAATCCATTCTTACGAAGTCATGTTTGAGCTTTAATATTTAAATTATGGTTTAAACTCATGGTTTAAAGCTGGTTCCTTTGTTTCCGAGGATTCCACTTCCAGGGTAAATCAGCACTGCTATAGTTCAACAGCAGGTATTCAAAGGGAATATATCAACAATAAATAAACATCCAAACCACAATGTCACTTAAAAATCACAAACCATGTTGTGTCTCAGTATTATGTCTGAAAGTAAATCTAACTGCTACACTGTGAAAATCTGCAAGATTCTCCCCCATGACAAACAATAAGAATATTCCTATTTTGCTTCCCTTTTCCACCATATTAGCCTTTAATTAGAACAGAAAAAAACGTCTATTTTGATTTTTTAAATAAAACAAAACAAAGCAACTTACCAAATTAATCAACTGAGTGTGGACAATGTCTTCAACCAACACTGCCGATTCATGTAGAGGTCTGCGAGCATCTCCTAAGGAGAACCTGAAAGGTAGATTAAGAATTACCAAATGGCATAAATAAAAGATGAAGACTGAATTATAGGTGGATTAATATAAGCAAGGAAGCCACAGGGTGAGCCTGAAGACCCCAGAGGGGATGTTAAGGACAGGTTATCTTGGAGGTCCTCCTAAATCGAACCCTGATTGATGGTACACAAGAGCATACACACAGATACACAATCAACATACTGATTTATTGTTATAGTGAAATTCAGAAAGAAATGAAAGCCCCTTAAAATAGTAGGAATGCCGACAAAAAACAGAAAGTCAAGCATGACTCCACATAACTTCCACACTTTATAGAACAGTGGGATTAAGGAAACTGACTAGATATGTGTGCTTTCCCCTCTTTATGGGTATTATTGCAAGTGGAAAGTTGTGAGGTCATGGTTAGTGGCTAGTGATGTTAGTTAGATGTTACTACTGCATCTAAAGAAGTGAGTTTATAACAACAAAAGCTCATGCAAAAACAGAGAACAGTCTTAAAGGTGCTGTCCCATTTCCTTTACTGTCTCTCCTGACTCCTTCTTCCTTTTAAAATTAAACGAGTGATCTTACTGCTGGCCTCTCCTTTTTTTAAAAAAAATATTTTATTGCGTTTATTCAATTTAACATAAACACATTAAGTAAACATACCTTTATCACTAAATTATTCCTATACTCTATAACTACTACAAATTCCAACTAACTATAAAGCAATTCAGACTTCTCCCAATTTACAAAACAAAAAAGTAATAATTAGAATCTGACCAATCCTTATAATCAAGTCACTCATTCTTCACTCTCCAAATGCAATATAATCGTAACATATATACAACATGCAAATTCTAAACATGTCCCATCCTTCAATCTTATTCTGTTTTGGAAGCATAATGATGAGCACTCTTTGAATACTGACCATGGTCCATTCCTGTTGTTTCTCTTTGATACTTTTTTTCCCTCCCTCTTCCCCTTACCCTTAGTTTGTGCCCTTCTTCCTTTTAAAATTAAACAAGTGATCTTACTGCTGGCCTCTCCTAACCACCCAAAGTGTTGTCAAAAGCCTCACTAAAGATACAGAAAAAAAATACAGCATGGTTTAAAATGCCTACCAAGAATAAAAATTCAAGAAGCCTTACAAAAAGACAGAGGCACCAGAGGCGTCTCTAGAAAGGGAAGTGGGAGAGCAGAGATAATAAAACATTGACAGGAGAACACTGAATATTCTGGCTGAGCATCACTGGCAGTAACCAATAGGAAAAAGTGCATTTCAGGTCATAGTCTCTCTTGGCAATCAAGTTCCAAAATGGAAAGAACAACTTAAGAAACCCCCATTTCTGATTGTGGTTAGCTACTTGCACACACTCCTCGTGGCACTTTGCGGGGTGCTTATTTTTCTCTTCTGTATACAAAAGGATCTACAAGCATTTCAGTCTCGTATTTAATCAAAATGTTTGTGTGTTTTTTTTTTGTCTTTTCCTTCTAAAAAGCTTCCAGATGGAACTATTATAGAGAAAGCATTCCTTGTGCATCTGTAACATGGAACATAAAAACAAATTGGAAATTCGTTGTAATACCATTTCTGTTTTGTCATACAAAAAGTGCCACCTGAATAATACATAGTAATTATGCAAGAAAACAATTTCAAATGTAGCAGCAGTGCAATCCAAACAGTGGGAGTACAATGTTCAGTCCCAGAGACACATTGTTGTTTATTCATTCAGTTGTTTCCAACCTCATGGACCTGCCCATGCCAGAGTTCCCTGTCAGCCATGGCCATCCCAGCTCCTTCAAGGTCAAGCCAATCACTTCAAGGATAAGATCCATCTACATTGGCCTTGGTCGGCCCCTCTTCCTTTTTCTTTCCATTTTCCCCAGCATCATTATCTTCTCCAAATTTCCTGTCTTCTCATTATGTGGCCAAAGTACTTCGTCTTTGCCATAACCAAATGCTCCATAAAAAAGGCATCCTCCAGGAGCAGCTATGGTCTACTCCAGAAGGACTAGGATAGAGATTTCAAACTGTGTGTCACTACACATTAGTGTGTCGGCTCCAGTGGGTAAGTATGTCATGTGAACATAATGAGAAATCTCTTGAGTCTATTGAAATAAGCAATACCATCTCGCATGCATTTTTATGCAGCAAAGATGCCAACTGGTATGGTGTACTGGTATGTTGCACTGGCATATTCACCTTCCATCATGTCCATGTATGCACACTATGGTCAAGGGATCATACAGACATATCTTGATGACATGTTTGAACATCTGAATAAAATAGAGAAACTATCTTAAAAGCAGTAGATAAAATTTCTGCTATGAGAGACAAAATAGCAATTTGGAAAAGGAAAGTGAAAAAAGGAAATTTTGAAATGTTTTCTAAAACGTTGAAGTGTAAACTAAAATGTGATATTAGGTTAATGGTCGTTGACCATTTAATATTGCTTGGAGGGCAAGTTTATCATTATTTTTCAAATGCTGAAATCTAAGATTACAACTGGATCAGAAATCTATTCTTTCAACTGTAACAAGGAACTTTTTACTTACTGAAGGGGAGGACATTGAAGTGGTAAGTTTGTTGGTTTACCTGAAACGTCAGGAACCATTTGTGGCTCGGGAGAATCGACAAGTGGAGGTACGCATCTCAAAGATCAATGGATGCAAAGTGATCTCCGGCGTGAAGAAGGGGAAGGATGGATGATACCATCACCATTCTGGGCTCGGAGTTCGAGCATCGGGCAAAGGGAACCATCGGGTTTCGGTAAGGTAAGGTACCTGGAGAACTGCAATGGGAAAGGATGAATCGCCCATTTGAGAGCAAGGTGTCAACCTCATTTAGAATTGCAGGTGTTGATGATGCAGCCGGTCGGGGGGAGTTCTTCAAACTTGAACGCATAACTGTCTTCGACAACTTTGAGAACCAATGCTTCACCTCACCATCGGGACCGCATTAAGTCCACGAATCCTGATGAATGGATTTTCTTCTACCATACTTGTACAGCGTCGTCCTTAATGCTTTCATACAGTCACTACATATGGCAGGGACACGGCCACTGCCATTTTTGAGCTCCCCTCACAATATGCAGCAACCACAGATTCTCCAATCCAGATTGGAAGTTTCAGCACCCGCTCTATAAGATGACTCCCAGCCTATAAGACTACTCCCGCATATAAGACAACTCCCACACATAAGGCTACTCCAGCGTATAAGAGGACTCCCGTGTATAAGACTGCTCCCACGTATAAGATGACCCCTGACTTTTGAGAAAATCTTCTTGGGTTAAAAAGTAGTATTATACACCAGAATATACGGTATGTAACAAATAACTACATCTGCATGCTTAGTGATGTTCTGAGACAAAGGCAGGCCAAATTTACTGAAAACCACCAGATCAGCAAGATAACAGCTACTGTGTTTTAACAGTCACACATGAATCAAATAATGGAAGACTATGCTCAGCAAGAAAATCTACACTTTCATCTACATGTCTAAGAACATCTGAGAATTGCTTTGCAATAAGGTAAAATTTTAAACGTGATAAATTGCATTTAAACTGATTTGATCAGTTAAATCAGTCTGGTTGCTTGAAAGGTAAAGAGCTGCTTATGGTCCAAAATTCTATAATTTCCACAAGTTAATATGTTGGTATCCAAATATGTGGGTCTGCACAAAGGTCATGAAAGACCACAATACTAGCTTATATTTCTGTGTTTTAGATTAGAATATCAGCTCAACCTCCACACTCATTTCCAAAAGTGGAAGCAAAATGCAAAATATATTATAAAGAGATAATCCACTTTGAAGATATGAAACTTTGGAATGAAAGTGCATATACACCTTCAGGACATAATCCCAGCTCAACAGCCCACATCTGTTTGTAATACACCCAGCTAAGATGAAACACACACATTGTTCAACTTTTGCTGACAACATTTCCATTCTATTTTCATTTTGTTCTTCTATTCTCTCATCCCTCATGAGCACATTTTCTGTAATCTCTTCTTGAAAGGTCTTATCTTTTCAGTGCCTCTAACTCCAGCACTCACTTTATAGATATTTCACCTACTTTGCTTACGAAGATTACACTTCCTGCTGTCTTGTATTCTCAACTTTCATCTCATCTCTGGATTGTTTTCTTCCTATTTTAGTCTGCTATTGCACCTCCAACACTTTTAACCACTTCCTGCTGCCCCCCTTTTTTTCCAGAGGTTAACCTTTAGCTTCCTTTTTGTTTCTCATAAGCCCTTCCATTTTCTTTTGGCAATTTCTGCTTTGATTCCCATTGAAGCTTTCAATTGGATGATTCAAATGAAAGTGCTATCTGACACAGCCAGTAATGAAGTCTGTCTTCCCTTCCATTTTTATTTATATATACATATATACATATACATAATCATATATATGTATTGCCCTCCTAATTTTGATCTTTCCCTCTCCTCCCTCTAGAAATCCATACATCACTTTGCTAGACCAGCCCTCTCAACAAATATATTATCTTTCTCTCAATTCTCTGCATATTGTAAAGAGGACACATTTGTGTTGGGCATAAGTGATCAACTACATTCCTCCTGAATCCTCTAACACATTCAGGATACATCAAGTGTTACTCTAATGTCTCACTCCACACTAGTCTTTAGAGAGGCAGAAACACATACACACAGACATTGCCTGTCACGTCAAAAAGCTTTAACAAAATGACACAAATGCAAATAGTAGCATTTACGGTAGTTAAACTAACAAATGTCACATGTATAGGATGAAGGAAACCTAGCTTGGTAGCATTACATATGAAAAATCTCTTGCTGTCTTAGCAAAACTTAAGACATCAGTGTGATCTAATTGCTTATAAAACAAATACAGTCTTCATTTGAATTAAGAGAACAACGGTGTTCAACTAAGAAGAAGTGATTCTAGTACTTTATGCTGTTGTGGTCAAACCTTAAGCAGAGTTGGATATTGTTTGGCCAGGAAAAATGATTAAGGGAAGATATGATAACTGAATT